ATGGCGAACGGAGGAGGTCCGGCGTCGGAAGTCGCCGGAGGAGGCGTCGGGCGTGAGAGGACTGAGGTGTATGGGGACATTGGGGAGGCTGTGATTAAAGTAGAGATTTTTTAAGGGACAAATTTTCAAAAGAGACCTTTTTGATTTTTTATTTGTAAAAAACAACTCATTTTCAAAATATTTGTAAAAACCGACCTGGTTTCAGCCTCAGCGCTGAAACCAGGTCGGTTTTTGAAAAAAAGTAAAAACCGACCTGGTTTCAGCCTCAGCGCTGAAACCAGGTCGGTTTTTGAAAAAAAGTTAGTTCAACTCCCGTGAAGTTTCACAGTTCAAAAAAAAAATTGAACTGTGAAACTTCACGGGAGTTGAACTCCCGTGAAGTTTAGCAGCTTAATTAAAAGTTGCTAAACTTCACGGGAGTTCAACTCCCGTGAAGTTTCGGAAATTTTTTTTCAAAAACCGACCTGGTTTCAGCGCTGAGGCTGAAACCAGGTCGGTTTTTACAAATATCCTAGAAACAGGTCGTTTTTTACAAATAAAAGCTGAAATGGGACGGTTTTGAAAATTTGTCCATTTTTTAAGATAAGTGGGCTGTCAGGATAAATTTTCAGAAACAACCCTGAACTTTGGGGATTTTTTCAGAAGCACAATTTTCTTCTTCTATCACATCATACGCCTTCGTTGGATAAAACCATCGCCTCGTATGTCGGCTTGACTCTCAAAGATGGGAATCGCCGGAAGCCTCAGCCCCGATCAACTCGAGTTCTTCAATTCCAATGGTCAATCAAGTCTCAACTCAAAGAAACTTTTTTTATTATAGAAATCTCAATGAAAAACTGTTTTTTTTTTCAATTAGGGTATTTGGTTATTGATTCTTTCTCGAGCTTCGAAGAGATTCAGGAGATGAGGGATAGGATGGACGAACTGCTCAAGGGTTTCGATCCATCCAAGTCCTCAGTCTTTTCTACCAAGAATCAGGTCTTTTTTTTTTGAGACAGAAAAGATAGAATTTTGATGGGTATCAGCCAGCAAGAATTCCTTTTGAACCTTTTTTTTTTGGTTAATTTTAGAGGGAAGTGACAGATGAGTACTTCTACGAGAGCGCTGAGAATGTCTCCTTCTTCTTTGAGGGTGAGTGCTTGTTCTGTAATTTTATAAATTTTGAGCTTTGTTATGTACTTTGTCAACAAGATAGTGTTGAACTGGTAATATTTTAGTAATTTTGGAGGCAATTTGCAAGCATTTTCCCTGCGTTTTAATTGGCATTATGCCTGAAATTTTAGCACCAATTTTCTATTTAATATTTTATCATTGTACTCTGTATGTAATATGTATATTGAAATCCAAGGTTATCCTCATGCAGCAGTTATTCTATTATTGTTTCTTGTATTTATACAGAGAAGGCATTTGGAGATGATGGAAGCTTGAAGCAACCAAAGGAACTCTCTATTAATAAAGTTGGCCATGGTTTGCATATTCGATTAAATCTAAAACATTTCTTTGCTAGGAAGAAAGGTTTATTTAGTGTTGTTTCATGGTTACCAATATAGATATATTCTTTTACCTTTTGTTTGTGCAGCATTGCATGAAATTGAACCCATATTCAAAAAATTCACCAACTCGGAGAACGTGACGAGTATGTTTCTCTCATTGGGCTACAAGAGGCCAGTGGTTATTCAATCTATGTACATATTTAAGGTACTGTTTGGGTTTCGCTTTGTGGATCATTGTAGCTTTGATGTGGAAATGATTATAGTTATATATCTCATTTTTACGTAAGTCCTACACATTGGCAACAAATTTTGATATTAGTTCCTACCACCTGAGCAATGCTAATAGCTCCCATATCCTTTTTTCTCAAATCAGCACTACTGGTGTCTTTTAGGGTCATGTATATGGTGATTATATATTTTCACTCTAGCAAGAATTTTGTTTGTCTGCTATATGAATCATTTCTCCAATCAGCACTATTAAGGTCATAAAGGATCATGTATCTAGTAACTTAATAGCTCTCATATCCTTTTTAAGTTTTTAACTGCCTTGATCCATGTTAATTTAATCTACTTCTTTAGATATATATAATATTTCTTCTTTATATAAACAAATCTTTTATCGGAAACATGATTCATCATTTACAAACAATACTTTTTTTGTGTGCAGCAACCAGGCATTGGTGGAGAAGTTGTACCACATCAGGACAATTCTTTTATCTATACAGAACCTACATCCTGCACTGGGTTGTGGCTTGCTCTAGAAGATGCGACAATAACTAATGGTTGCCTCTGGGCTATTCCTGGCTCACATAAGAGTAGCCTTCCTTCCCCTTCTTGTTTTTATGGTTTTACGTTTATATGTCCCTTAAATCATGTATTTGCAAAACTACCCCCAAATCTCAGTACTTGCAAAATTATCGCATATCATCAACTTTAGGAAAAAAATACGCCCAAATCAAAAAACCATCAAACCTTGATGGGCTAATTTGTAACTGCAGTTTCAAACTGTCAATAAAATAATCAAATTTTTACCGACCAAGTCATCAAATCCAGCAGAGTTGATGATTTGTTGATTTGGGGATACTTTTTTTTTCTTCCAAAGTTGAAAATTTGGGGGTAGTTTTGCATATACTGAGATATGGGAGGCAGTTTCCCAAATATGCATGATTTAAGCGGGCATATATAAACCCTTCTTTTTAGTTATTACTTATTAGTGCTAATGGACATCTGTTTTTTCAATTTCTTGTTTGATCTTAGAGGGCCTTGTGAGAAGGTTTATCAGAGATGAAAATGGAGTGCACTTCGATCGTCCTTCACCGTCATATGATCAAAAGGAATTTGTGCCCCTAGAAGTAAAATCAGGTTCTTTGGTGGTTATACATGGTGACCTTGTGCATCAGAGGTAAGTATTTTGACTACATCTTGATGAGTGATAATTTAATTTTATTTTGCTAATTTCTGGTTATTGCAGCTTCGAGAATCTCTCTCCCGATTCTAGGCATGCCCTGAGCTTACATGTGGTGGATACTGATGGATTTGTGTGGGCCAAGGATAATTGGTTAGTGTATAAGGAACTTATATTTTTGAATTCCCCAATCACATTCAAGCTTGACTTTTTCTACAGTGATATATGTGAAACACGGGTCACACATAAACCATAGAACTTGAATGATCTTGTTATTTAGGCCCCTTTTGACATGTTTGATTTGATTTATGATAGTACAAGTTCATATGCAGGATTCTAGGAAGATTTTTTAGTTGAGGGGAATGCAAGGATGTCTTCTTTCTTATATGTTGTCTTTTGATAATAGGTCTAGGAAGATAAGATTTCATATCTACCCCCTCTCCCCTTCGTTGTCATATTTTTTCTTGTTTCCTCCTGGGGTTGCATGGATGGCCAATGATTGGTCATTAGGACCTTGATTATAACAAATACAGTGAAGCACAGTGCCTTTTGATATAGTTTTTCATCTTTGAAAGTGTCGAGGAAGCTAAGCAAAAAGTTATAACCCACAATATTTGTCGTTCTATACCGAATCACTTACTTGTGGTCAAGCATAGAAATGTTCATCCGATATCCTGAATAAACAATTTCTTGTGGACTATAGCCCACAATTTCGGCCTTTCTACGCCAAATCACTTCTTTCATTCATATATAAAAATATTTTTGCGAACTATCAAATTCACAATTTGTCGTGGACTATAATCCACAATTTTGGCCATAGTAGGCCAAATCACTTTTTGTGTTCTCACCTAGAAATATTTATTCAATCTCCCAAATTAATGATTTCTCTTGGACTATAACCCACAATCTTGGCTTTTTTTTGCGAAATCACTTCTTGTGTTCGCGCATAAAAATATTTATCTAATCTCCCAAATTAACTATTTCTCGTTGACAACCCACAATTTTAGATGTTTTTGGCCAAATCACTTCTTGTGTTCTTACATCGAAATATTCATCCGATCTCCCAAACTAATGATTTATCGTGGACTCTAGCCCACAGTTTTGGTCATTTTACACAAAATCACTTCTTGCATTGCCACATAGACTGTTTATGTGAGCTTCCAAACTAACGATTTCTTGTTTACTATAACCCATCATTTTTGCTATTTTATGCTAAATTAGCTTTTCCATTCACAGATAAAAAAATTTATGCGAACTATCAAATTCACAATTTCCTGTAGACTAAACATGATTTTTTGGCCGTTTTCAGCCGAATCACCTTTTGTGCTCTCACCTACAAATATTTATTTGGTTTTCCAAATTAACGATCTCTCATGGACTATAATCCATAATTTTTGTCATTTATGGCCAAATCACTTATTACATTCCCCTATAAAAATATTTATATGAGCTCTCAATTTCATGATTCTCATTGACTATAACCCATAATTTGGCCGTGTTTTGCCAAATTATTTCTTGTGTTCTCACATAGAAGTATTTATCCAATCTCCCAAATTAATGACTTCTCATGGACTACCCCATGATTTTGGTTGTTTTACATGAATGCACTTTTTGCATTCCCTCGTAAAAAATTAAGGTGAACTATCAAATTCACGATCCGTCATGGACTATAATCACAATTTTTGAATGTTTTCGACCAAATCATCTTGTGTTCCCGCATGGAAAATGTCTATTAGAGCATCAAATTCATGATTTCTCATGGGTTATAACCTACAATTTTAACTGTTTTCCACCAAATTGATTTCGTATAGAAATATTTACTCAATCTCCCAAATTAACAATGTGTCGTGGACTATAGCCCACAGTTTTGGTCGTTTTTGACCAAATCACTTCTTGTCCTCGCGCATTGAAATATTTATGCAAGCTCCTAAATTCGCGAATCCTTGTGGACTTTAACCCACAATTTTTCCGTTTTCGACTGGAAAACTTAGTGTCCTTGCATGGAAATCTTTATCCGATCTCAAAAATTAATGATTTCTCATGGATTGTTACTAGGGGTGCTAAACCGTATCCGTATCCAAGAAAATATCCGTAACTGTATCCGTTAGGATACGAATATGGTTACTCAAATCTATAACCGATAGGATATGGTTACATATATCGTTTTGTAGTGAAATATCTGTATCCGTATCCGAAATATCCGAATACATATTAGTCATACTTTTACGATGGTTTCGATTCTTAGATTATGGATTTGTGGTTAATTTTGATGATCAAGATGTATAATCTTAACTTTTTAATTATAATGGACATATTAGCTAACTCTTTTGTATCACATGAACTATGTTTTTCTCAATACTATCTAGTTTTCTCATATCTGTTTTGTATCTACATGCATATCCGCATGTATATCCGTAATCGTATCCGATTTTAGTGGATATGGTTATAAATTTTTCTTACCGAGCTATATCTGTATCCATATCCGTATCCGAGATGGGTAAGCGGATATGGATATGATAAGCATCATATTCGAGCCGTATTCGAACCGAATGCACCCCTAATTGTTACCCACAATTTTGAATGTTTTCGACCAAACCACTTCTTGTGTTTACTCATGGAAACATCTACGCGACCGCCCAAATTCATGATTTCTCATGGATTATAACCCACAATTTTGAATGTTTTTGGTCAAATCACTTCTTGTGTTCTCGCATATAATTATTTATTCAATCTCCCCAATGAACCATTTCTTGCGGACTATTACCCATAATTTTAGTCGCTTTCGGAGAAATCACTTCTTATTTCGTTCCCATATAGAAATATTTTTCAAGCTCCTTAATTAACAAATTCTCATAGAGTATAACCTATAATTTTGGCAGTTTTATGCAAAATCACTTTTCCTTTCCCACATAAAAATATTGTACTAACTATAAAATTCATGATTTCTTGTGAGCTATAGCCCACAAGTTTTGGCCGTTTTCGAACGAAACACTTATGTGTTCTAGTCTAGAAATATTTATCCGATCTCACAAATTAACAATTTCTCGTGGACTATAACCCACAATTTTGAATATTTTTGACCAAACCACTTGTGTTCCCTCATAGAAATATCTACGCGACCTCTTAAATTCACGATTTCTTGTGGATTATAGCCCACAATTTTGAATGTTTTTGGCCAAATTACTTTTTGTGATCTTGCATATAAATATTTCCTAAATTAATGATTTCTCATGGACCACAATTTAGGTCGTTTTCGGCTAAATCACTTCTTCCATCGTTCCTAAATAGAAAATATTATGCGAGCTCCCTAATTAACAATTTCTCGTAGACTATAGCCTATGATTTTGGTGGTTTTATGGCAAATCACGTTTCCTTTTCCCACAAAAAATATTTACACGAACTATCAAATTCATGATTTCTCATGAGCTATAGCCCATAATTTTGACCGTTCTCGACCAAATCATTGTGTGTTCTTACATAGAAATATTTATTCATCTCCCAAATTAATGATCCCTCATGGACTATAACCGACAGGTTTGGCTGTTTTCGGTCAAATCACTTATTACATTACTGCATTGAAATATTTATGCGAGCTCCCAAATTCACGATTTCTCGTGGATTATAACCCACAATTTTGGTCGTGTTTTGGCAAATTACTTTTAGTTTTCTCAAATAGTAATATTTATCTAATCTCTCGAGTTAACGATTTCTTATGGACTATAACCCATAATTTTACTCGTTTTACGCGAATTTACTTTCTTTACATCCCACAAATAAAATAAATGTTTACGAGAACTAACAAATTCATGATTTGTCGTGGACTATAACCTACAGTTTTAAATGTTTTCAACCAAATCACTTGTGTTCCTGCATGGAAATATCTATGTGATTTCTCAAATTCACGATATCACATAAGCTACCCTACATTTAAACCGTTTTCGGTCAAATTACTTGTGTTCTTGCATTGAAAGATTTATCCATTCTTCGAAATTAACAACATATCATGGACTATAACTCACAATCCTGATCGTTTTCGGCCAAATCACTTGTTGCATTCCCGCATAAAAATATTTATTAAATATCCGAAACTAACATGTTCTCTTGGACCATAACCCACAATTTTGGTTTTTTGCCTAATTTTTTTATTGTATTCCCGCATAGAAATATTTGTGCGAGCTTCTTAGTTAATGAATTTGTGTGGATTATAACCCTTAATTTTGGGTATTTTACACCAAATCACTTCTTGCATTCCCACATAGTACTGTTTATGCGAGCTTCCAAACTTATGATTTCTTGTTTACTATAACCCATAATTTTTGCTATTTTATGCTAAATTAGCTTTTCCATTCGTACATAAAAATATTTATGCCAAATATCAAATTCACATTTCTTGTGGATTATTACCCACAATTTTGGTCATTTTCTGGCGAATTACCTTTTGTGTTCTCACTTGGAAATATTTTTCGATCTTCCAAATTTAGATCTCTCATGGACTTTAACCAATAGCTGTGGCCATTTTCAACCAAATCACTTATTACATTCCAGTTTACAAATATTTATGCTAGCTCCCTATTTCACGATTTCTCGTTGACTATAACCCATAATTTTGGCCGTGTTTGGCCAAATTACCTCTTGTGTTCTCACACAGATCTCTCAAATTAATGATTTCTCTTTTACTATAACTCGTAGTTTTCGTTGTTATATGCGAATGCACTTTTTGCATCCCCATGTAAAAAAAATAATGTGAACCATCAAATTCACGATTTGTTTGGGTCTATACCCTCAAATTTGAATATTTTGGACCAAATCTCTTCTTTTCTTCCTGCATGGAAATGTCAATGTGAGCTCCTAATTTCACGATTTGTTGTGGACTATAGCCCAGAATTTTGATCATTTTCAGCCAAATTACCTCTTGTGTCTCGTATAAAAATATCTATCCGATCTCCCCAATTAAAATTTCCTGTAGACTATAACACAATTTTGGTCTTATTTGGCCAAATCACTTGCTTTCCCATATAAAAATAGTTATCTAATCTCCCAAATTAACGATTTCTCATGGACTATAACCCACAATTTTGGTAGTTTTCGACCAAATCACTTCTTGTTTTGTCGCATAGAAATATTTGCAAGCTCCCAAATTCATGATTTCTCTT